AGGCTTTCTAGTAAGATCAAATCCAGTTTTATGACCATGTGGGATTTATCCCTGGGATGCAAGATGGTTCAACATACAAAAATCAGTCAATATGATTTATGACACCACTTTAACAAAATAAAGAATAAAATAACACAATCATCTTAATAGATGCCAAAAAAACATTTGACAGAATTCAACATTCTTTCATCATAAAAACTCTCAATTAAATTAGGAATAGAAGGAAGATTCATCAACATAACAGTAGTCATATATGAAAAGCCCACAGTTGACTTCATATTCAGCACTGAAAAACTAAAAACTTTTCCTCCAAGATCAGGAACAAGGCAAGGATGCCCACTCTCGACACTTCTCTCTTGAATAGACATAGTATTGGAAGTCCTAGCCAGAGTAATTAGTCAATAAATAAAAGGCATCCAAATTGAAAAAGTAAAATTGCTCCTGTTTGCAGATTCTTATATAGAAAACCCTTAAAGACTTCATTTAAAAATAAAAAAGTTAGATGCTGGATGTGGTGGGTCATGCCTATAATCCCAGTTCTTTGAGAGGCCGAGGAGAGAGGACCGCCTGAGCCCACGAGTTCAAGACCAGCCTGGGCAACTTGGCAAGACCTCATCTCTACAACAAATCAAAAAATTAGCCGGGCGTGATGGTACATGCCTGTAATTCCAGCTACTTGGAAGGCTGAGGCAGAAGGATCACCTAAGCCCAGCAGGTAGAGGCTGCAGTGGCCATGAGCGTGCTACTGCACTCAGAGCTTGGGTGACAGAGTGAGACTCCAACTCAGAAAAAAAAAGTTAGAACTAATAAACAAGCTGGGCGCCATGGCTCATGCGTGTAATCTCAGCACTTTGGGAGACTGAGACAGAAAAATAGCTGAACCCAGGAGTTCAAGACCAGGCTAGGCAATATAATGAGATCCCATCTCTACAAAAATAAAAAAAATATTAGTCAGGCATGGTAGCATGCACCTGTAGTCTCAGCTACTCAGGAGGCTGAGATGGAAGGATTGTCTGAGCCCAGGAAGTCAAGGCTACAGTGAGCCGTAATTTGCCACTGCACTAGCCTGGGTGACAGATGAAGCATATATATATATATATATATATATAGAGAGAGAGAGAGAGAGAGAGAGAGAGAGAGAGAGAGAACAAATTTAATAAAGCCGCAGGACACAAAATCAAAATACAAAAATCAGTTGCATTTCTATACACTAATAATGAACTATCTGAGAAGGAAATTAGGAGATTAAGCCCCAGCCGTTTATAGAGGTAACCCACTTTCCTCCCTTCCCTTACTCCCTCCTCCACACCCTTACCATGTTCCTCGGATCTTCTCCCAGTTAAATCACTTTCACTCAAATGTTTGTCTCAGATTCTGCTCTTGGAAGATCTCAATCCAGACATGAAAGTACAGAGAGTTGAATGACTCAGAGGTCAAATAAGTAGGAACAGACAGACTGGCAGCTTGATCCCAGGCCATCTGACAGCAGATTCCACTCCCTCAAACACCAAGCTCTGTTGCTTCTCACACAGTAGCCACAACACTCCCATGGCAGGAGGATAGAGACACTCCCCTCAAATCTGCTGACCCCAGAGCAGAAAATCCCTTCTCTGGCTTCAGATGATTCTTCTCTGGTGGTAGGAGGTTAAGCAGACCTGCCCCTGCAGTCCTGGAACAGACCCAACCTGGCCTGCCCAAACTGTCCCCCTGGCACCAGTGTCTGCTTCCCGGCCAGAGGGAAGCCAGGACTGCCAGCCAGTACCTTGAAGGACATTTGCCTTTGGATTAAGAGGACATGCTGAGATCTGGTGCTTGGAGGGGCTGGGGTGGCCAGGGTCCAGGGGCAAATTCACTGAGTTTTCTCATTTATTGAGCTTCTCATGTGACAGGCACTGTTCTAAACAGCACATCACATATATTTTATTATATATATATATATATATTCCTCACAATAACCCTTTGAGGTGCATGCAATTATTATCCCTATTTTATAGATGAGAAAACTGAGGAATAGAGAGGTTAAGAAACTTGCCAAGGTCACCCAGCTAGTAAGTGTCACAAACAGGATTCAAACACAGGCAGTCTAGCTCTTAATCCTTCCTGAATTCTGACTCTCCTGCAACTTCAGGTGTGACAGCTGCCAGCTACTCACTCTGAGCTTCCACTTAGAGTAGAAGGAGATTTATACACGAATTTCTGCCCAATCCCAACTTTGGTGGAGCCCCACCTGGAGGAAGGGATAGGCAGGAGAAGATGCACTGAAGACTGGGAGGCAATAGACCCCACAAGGAGGAATTGTATTAGCTGAAAAGCAGCCCCCCTTCCCCTGCACCCACTCCCCTGGAGCCTCTCTGCCTGTTGACAGAGATCAACCATTCAACCTCTGTGTATTTATCTATCCCCAGTCATGTTCCCAAGATGATTTGAGGGAGCTTAAAGAATTAGATGCACAGTATCTCCACTGTTAAAGTAAATTAAAATGGAGCCCAAGTCCGAAGAATGCCTGAGCAGACAAAGCCTCATAAGTGACCTTGGCCTTGTTTGACTCGCCAACATAAGTGAAACTTAACTTGAACTGTTTCTTGTAAATGCCTAAGAAAAATAGAACTTAATCTCAACTAATCAGAAGCAGCCAACACAAATAATTATATAACCAGGAGCTTTCCAATGAGGTAGACCAAATAAGGCAACTGTATAACTAGTCAATCAAATATTTTTATTGTTTACTCCTGTGTCCGTCATATAAAAAACTCCCCCTTGTGTTCCCTCAGTAGAGCTCCCAAACCACTTCTGGTTTGGAGCTGCCTGATTCATGAATTGTTGTTTGCACAAAGAAACCCTCTGAAAATATATCGTGCCTCGGTTTACCCTTTTAATACCACCAAAGATACTCCAATGAATAATGCATGGCTTATTATCTTAACGGCCTCATAACTGATGCCACGATGATGTGATATTATTAGATCATTACACATACAGTTACCAACTTGTCCTGGTTTTGTTAGAACTTTCCCAGTTTTAAAGCTGAAAGTCCCTTGTCTTGGGAAACTCCTCAGAGACAGACAACTGAAACGGTTGGTCACCCTCATTTTACAGGACTCAGATAAAGTCTACTTGCTAGAAGAAGACTAAAAATGTATCTCTGAGATTCCTAGTAGCCAACACAAAGAGGGACACATAGTATGTTATGAAATGTTCAGTGTCTATAATAGTACGATCTGAAGGGATGAAAATGTTCAGCATTATCCAATATGATAGTAGCTAGCCACATGTCTCTATGGAGCACTTAGAATGTGACTAGTGTAAAAAAAAAGTGGCTAGTGTAGTTAAATACTGAATTTTTCATTTTATTTCATTTTAATGTACTTAAATGTAAATAGCCTCATTTGGCAAATGCTGACTGTATTGGACAACAACTAAGGGCTCAGGAAGAGCTTCTTTCTTAATACTGAGGCATGAGGAATTTCTCCCATGAGGTATCTCACAAGTGAGGTGAATATAAAAGTGAGTTCCACACAGGTGTTTTTCTTTTCTCGTGTGTACTGTATAATAGAAGGCACTTCTAAAGCTTATGCCATGTGCTAAGTTCTCTCATGAATCCTTTTCCTGTGTTAATCCATTCAACTCTCAAGGCCAGCCTAGAAAGTAGGCACTTTCAGTACCCCCAAGGAGAAGGTTCCTCCTCCGAGGAGACCCTTGGGGATCAAAGACTGCTCCTTCCTTGGCCCCAGTGCCTGGCCCACTGGTCTCCCCGTCTGTCCTAGAGAGGGCCAGGCATCTGGGGGACAGACAGAGGGGTAGAAAAGAACTGGTGAAGAGAGAAAAGGGAGGGACACCGGGGAGGAATTCCCAGATGTTCTCATCCCCTGCCCCCACCCCCCCACCCCAGCGGGCACTGCAGGACTGACATTGACTCCATGGAAAAAGTGAGCAATGTCTAGCATCACCCCCGGCATCAGAGGACACTTGGGGCATTGGAAGGAAGACCCGTGTGCCAGGAAACAGAATGCATCTGCACACCCCTAGACATGGAGCCTGGGCCTGGCCTCCCATCTGGGACAAACGCCTCTTTTGAGTTTACTGTGGATGGTCGCCTGAGGTGTGTCACCACACTGGCCTGAATGCCGGGATCTCTTGTGCCTGCTTGGTCCCTCGGAGGCAGGTGTGCCCTCCCCCACCACCACTGTGACTAGGAGGTTGATGACTTCAGGGTCAGAAATAACCCCACAGTCAGCTCCTGCATGCCACCCTTCCCCTCCCCTCCATTCCCAGAAAGTCTATGCCCTGAGTCAGAAGGAAGAATCCAAAAGTAAACAAGGACCCAGATAATCTGGCATGAAAGTCACAGAACCATTCTGTGGAATTCTTTGATAAATCAGGGACCTAGTGAAGGCCTGGGGCCTAACTCTGAGACTCAGTAAAGAGCTGGGGCTTGCTCATTCGGATGTCTTTCCCCCAAATCCAGCTTCAGGCAGAGTGTGTTGACCTGTGCTGTGAACATAAGGAATAGATAAGAAAAGGGAATAGGAGAGACGGGCCTAATTCTCAAAGGCATCCAGACTCAGAACAGAGGAGGCAGAGCCAGGCCCTGCCTTCAGGGGACTTCCAGTCTCCTGGCACAGTGGGTACAGGCATGTCAGGAATAGTCGGGGCCAGTCCAGAGGAGACAGACAGGATTAGGGCACAGGGCTGTCCAGGTGTCAGGTGCCCCTTCTTATTCACTCCCTCAAAATAACCTGGGATACCCCTACTCCACACCACGGCTGAGTCACTGGCCCCAAATCTCTGATCAGACTTTGGATGAATGAAGCATCCCACTCCCCATCCCCCTCCTCAACCCAAAGGACATGTAACTGATTCCCCAGGATGGAAGAGTGACTTCCAAAAGCCCTAAAAATAACCGAACCACTTAATACTCTGAACATAGCCTCTCCCGCCCGCCCCCGCCATGGCCCACCCCCTGGCCAGTAAGATAAAGGCAGCTGCTGGGACTGGCAGGGGACAGAGACCCAGAGCCAGGGCAGCAAGAAGGCATCTGTTGGAGCCAGTAGGACAGAACCAGCCACGAACAAGAAACTCAATAGGAACGACAGACCCTTCAGCCACACCTGCTACAGACCCCAAGCACCCCATCTACCAGGAGGGACCCTCGGTGAGTAACCTGCCCCTCTGCCCTTCCATGGTAGGGCTGGCTCTCGAGGCTGGGATCCCCTCTGGACCTTCTGGAATAGGATATTCGGGGTGGCTCTGACAGGAGGAGGAAGGTTGAGGGGCACGCATGGGTGTAGGTGAGTGGAAGAGTCTCTGGATATAAAGAACCCACAAAGAAGGTAAAGAGAGTTTAGTGTGAGCCCCATGGACACTCTCAGAGTGGCTGCCACAGGTCTGGGGTCAGCAGAAGGGACAGGTTCTTATTTCTGGGGTCCAGGCCCTAAATGGGGTCTCGAGACCCTGAGACAGCATTGTCGGCCACTCGTTCACCAAAATCAGACACATCTTTACTTACAAAGGTTTAGGCTAAAAGACCCTTGAGATCCCCTAGCTCAGACCTCCTGAGTCTTGAACTACAGAGCAGAAAACTCCGACCTGGGATTCAGAATTTGGCTCTATCCAATCGTGAGATGTCTGGTGAGCAATTTCCTCTCCGTGAGCTTCAGCCTCTTCCCTGTGAGTTGAGAGTTAAGAAGTAAATGTTGGGCAGGGCTCTGGGTCAGTCCAGCCTGGCACATCCAGAAAGATATCCAAGAGGTGGCCTGGAGTTGTGATTTTTTTAAAAGACAGAAATAGTGTTCCTCAGGCTCCAGGGTTTCCTCCTAGGGGAGCCCCTGGCAGGCCCAGCATCTGGAGGAAAAAGGGACAGAAGAGAGGTGGGAGGGCATGGTGGCAAGGGACAGTAAGCAGGCCTGAGCCTCCATTGCTAGGACAAACCTCATGCCCAGCTATGAGGGATGAAGGTCTTGGCATACCTGGCCCAGGGAAATCTCTCCAGGGCTGGCCTGATTTAGTTCCCGCCGCATATCAAGGCCTAGAACCTGGAGTGAGATGAAGACTCTACCCCATCCATCACCCTGTCCAGTGGGAAAGCCCCTAGGGCAGCCCTGGGGGGCCCAGAGCTGGGAGACTGGATCTGAGTTTGCCCAAATGTAAGATGAGTGGATTGCCTGAGCCCGCGGGTTCGAGACCCACCTGGGCAGCAAGACCTCATCTCTACAATAAATCAAAAAATCAGCCGGGCGTGGTAGCGCGTGCCTGTAGTTCCGGCTACTTGGAAGGCTGAGGCGGAAGGATCGCCGGAGCCCAGCAGGTCGAGGCTGCAGTGGCCAGGAGCGGCCACTGCACTCCGGTCTGGGTGACAGAGTGAGACTTCAACTCAAAAAAAAAAAGAAAAGATAAGAAATATGGAACTGGCCGGGCCAAAGATAAGAGGGAGACCTGAGGGCCGGGGTGGGGCCTTCCTGAGAGGCTGGCCCAGCCCTAGCAGGCCAGGCTCTGGGACAGTTCCTGGTGCTCATCCCACCCTGTCTGGTCCCAGTTCTGAATTCTGGCCCTACCCTGCCCCTATCCCAGGAGTCTCAAGCCAGTCAAGGGTGGCGGTGAGAAGGCCAAGAATCAGGAAACCTGCCTCAGGCTTCACTACTGCCTTGCTGAACCTCTTTGGGCAGCTCTGTTCTCCTCTGTGGGCCTCAGTTTCTCCATCTGAACAATAGGAAGGTTAGAATCAGTGACCTCTGAGGGTCCTTAGGTCTACCATCCCTGGACTCTGTGATAACAACACTCTGTGACTCTAGGAGGGATTCTAGAAATTCCTGGGGGTGGGATGGGATGAATTGGTGGCCTGCACATGCCATCTGCTCGGGCCACCTTGGTGGTGACAGGATGGAGTGGAAGTAGGGACAGACACAGATTTGCCTTTGGCAAGGGATTTCCACTGGAGCTCAGACACTAAAGGAAACCACCCAGAGCATTTGATGAGACTCGGTCCACAGGTTTCAGAGCTCATAGTCCTCAGGGGTTCTGATATATTTGATAGACATGCCAGGGCTGAGGGTGGGCAAGAAGGTCTCAGTTTCCCCTCTCCTCCTTCTGAGGCAGCCTTAAGGAGGATGTCCTGCTCCTCCCCCCACCTTGCTGCCAATACCCCTGCACCATTCCCACTGGCAGATCCCTTTGGCCAGAGCATTATCCAACCTCCAGTCCCCAGTTAGCCTGCAGGTCAGGTGCCTGACACCAGCTCAGGAGGCAAGACGAAGAATGGGATCCCACGGTAGCGAAGGCGATGAGGTGGGCCAAGCGCACGGAGGGTCCCCACTGGCTGGGCCTCAGCCTCCCTCCAAGCCCAGGACTGCTCTTCTGAGGCCAGAACCTAAGCTATATTTAGCACTGAGTATGGTGCAGAGCAGAGGGTCAGGGACAGCGGGAGGCGGTACATGCTTCTCATTCTTTCCCTACTGGCCTCTGGGGACTGTTAGTACACCTGTCACAAGACAGATAAGACATACGTGGGACAGAGACCAGAGAAGGGCTTGGAGGGTGGAGGCCAAGGAGGATTGGGGGTAGAGCTGGGGAGAAACTGGCTGGGGTCGTCGTGAGGCCAGCAGGGATAGGGCTTAGCCTGAGGTTCTGTACCCAGAGACCCTGAAGCCATGCTTGCTTGCACATGACTGGAGAGGGGTCTCCATGAGCAAAGGGTAGGGTTGGTCTGCAAAAAGGACCCTGGTCCTTTTGTCTTCCCTTCCTGTGGCATCACCCCTTCATCTACTAAGGGTGCCTGCTAGGGAACAGAGAGGCACCGTGGCCAATAAGAGAACTTGACACCCTCCTACCCTCTTATTTCTGGGGTCTAGGCCCTAAATGGGGTCTAGAGACCCTGAGACAGCATTGCCGGCCACTTGTTCACCAAAATCAGACTCATCTTTACTTATAAAGGTTTAGGCTAAAAGACCCTTGAGATCCCCCAGCTCAGACCTCCTGAGTCTTGAACTACAGAGCAGAAAACTCTGACTCGGGATTCAGAATTTGGCTCTGCCCAATCGTGAGATATCTGGTGAGCAATTTCCCTCCGTGAGCCTCAGCCTCTTCCCTGTGAGTTGAGAGTTAAGTAAACATTGGGCAGGGCTCTGGGTCAAAGTGGCAAGCGTGCCCTCTGGTGTTCTGCAAAGGAATCTCATCTCCACGGGAAATCACAGTCACCAGTTTAGGGGCTCAGCTTCCCATGGCTGGAGGACTCCATAGGTCAGGATTCCCCCAGGACACTGCACTGGGAGTCTACCAGTCTACTGATTGCAACAAAGGATGGCAAGGATGGGGCATGTCCAGTTTGCCCATTGGAGGTCAGGGCATCCCTCGTGGAACTGCAGGAAAGAACCTTGTGGTCAGTGGTGACTGCTTGCTCCCCAGCAGCCCAGGAGATGCTGAAATGCACTTTGATGGAGGGTCCAAATGTCCTAAGTTCAAGCCTCATTGCATGACCAATCACATAGGTAGCAAAGTGAGGCCCAGGCCAAGACCACCTACAGGAGGAGGGAATCTCTAAGCAGGGTCTACTAGGCCCAGGCCCTGCCCCCTGCCCGGGCCCTGTTTGCTGCCTTTTCTCCCAGCAACCAGCCCCCATCCCACCTAAGGCCCAACTCCATCCTCATCTCTGCCTCTTCTCTTCAAAAGGATGGCCAACGCCCAGACACAGGTGGCCTCCACACCAACCATTCAGATGGCAACTACAGAGGCCCCACCCCTCCCTCTGCCCCCAACCCTGGAGGATCTGCCAAGGCCACCACCCAAGGACTCCTTCTCCAAGTTCCACCAGCAGCGGCAAGCCAGTGAGCTCCGCCGCCTCTACAGGCACATCCACCCCGAGCTCCGCAAGAATCTGGCCGAGGCTGTGGCGGAGGATCTGGCTGAGGTCCTGGGCTCTGAGGAGCCCACCGAGGGTGACGTTCAGTGTATGCGCTGGATCTTTGAGAACTGGCGGCTGGACGCCATTGGGGATCATGAGAGGCCAACTGCCAAGGAACCCGTGCCAGGTGGCGACGTCCAGGCCACCTCCCGCAAGTTTGAGGAAGGTTCTTTTGCCAACAGCACAGACCAGGAGCCAGCCGGACCCCAGCCAGCCAGAGGGGACGTGCGCACAGCTCGCTGGCTGTTTGAAACGAAGCCGCTGGATGAGCTGACGGGCCAGGACAAGGCACCAGAAGCTACTGTTAGAGAGCAGGCAACCAGTGGAGATGTGCAGGGAACCAGGATGCTCTTTGAGACGCGGCCGCTGGACCGTCTGGGCTCCCGCCCCTCCGTGCAGGAGCAAAGCCCCTTGGAGCTGCGCTCAGAGATCCAGGAGCTGAAGGGTGATGTGAAGAAGACAGTGAAGTTGTTTCAAACAGAGCCCCTGTGTGCCATCCAGGATGCAGAGGGTACCATCCATGAGGTCAAGGCTGCATGCCGGGAGGAGATTCAAAGCAACGCAGTGAGGTCGGCCCGCTGGCTCTTTGAGACCCGACCTCTGGATGCCATCAACCAGGACCCCAGCCAGGTGCGGGTGATCCGGGGGATCTCCCTGGAGGAGGGGTCCCGGCCTGATGTCAGTGCAACTCGCTGGATCTTTGAGACACAGCCCCTGGATGCCATCCGGGAGATTTTGGTAGATGAGAAGGACTTCCAGCCATCCCCAGACCTTGTCCCACCTGGTCCAGATGTTCAGCAGCAGCGACATCTGTTTGAGACCCGAGCCCTGGACACTCTGAAGGGGGAAGAGGAGGCTGAAGCAGAGGCCCCGCCCAAGGAGGAAGTGGTCCCTGGCGATGTCCACTCCACCTTGTGGCTATTTGAGACAAAGCCCCTGGATGCTCTAGGAGAAAAGCTCCAAGTGGGTCACCTGCAGCGGGTGGATCCCCAAGAGGGTGAGGGGCATCTGTCCAGTGATGGTTCCTCAGCACTGCCTGTCTCTCAGAGTGCCCCCCAAAAAGATGAGCTGAAGGGGGATGTGAAGACTTTCAAGAACCTTTTTGAGACCCTTCCCTTGGACAGCATTGGGCAGGGTAAGGCTTCAGCCCACGGTTGTGTGAGCAGAGGAGAAGGAACTCATTCTCCTGGGCAGTCTCAGGTCACAGGGTCCCCAGTATATGCAGTGCAGGATGGCAAGGGCTGCCTCCATGCCCTGACCTCTGTTAGCAGAGAGCAGGTAGTCGGAGGTGATGTGCAGGGCTACAGGTGGATGTTTGAGACACAGCCTCTAGACCAACTGGGCCGGAGCCCCAGTACCATCGATGTGGTGCGGGGCATCACCCGGCAGGAAGTAGTGGCTGGGGATGTTGGCACTACTCGGTGGCTCTTTGAGACCCAGCCCCTGGAGGTGATCCACCAGCGGGAGCAGCAAGAAAGACAGGAAGAAGAAGGGAAGAGTCAGGGAAGCCCTCAGCCTGAGGCACCCCCAAAGGGCGATGTACAGACCATCCGGTGGTTGTTTGAGACTTGCCCCATGAGTGAGCTGGGGGAAAAGCAGGGATCAGAGGAAACAGATCCCACAACCAAGGATAAGGCACAGTCCTGCACCTGGATGTTCCAGCCCCAAGCCCTGGACAGGCCAGAGGGCTCCAGGGAGCAGCACCTGCAGGTTAGCCAGGTCCAGGCTGGAGAAAGACAGACAGACAGACATGTGTTTGAGATTGAGCCTCCTCAGACCTCAGGCCGTCCCTGTGGAAGAGGGCCTGTACGATACCGCAGCCGGGTGGAGATTCCTTCAGGGCAGGTGTCTCGTCAGAAGGAGGTTTTCCAGGCCCTGGAGGCAGGCAAGAGGGAAGAGCAGGGGTCCCGGGTAACCCCTGGGTCCATCCCTGAGGGTTCTGTGCACAAGTTCACCTGGCTCTTTGAGAATTGCCCCATGGGCTCCCTGGCAGCTGAGAGCGTCCGAGGGGGCAACTTCCAGGAGGAGCAGCCAGAGAGCCCCTCAGGCAACAGGATGGTAGAGAGGCAGGAGACTGCAACTGAGGGGACCCTGAGGACTCTTTATGCCACACCTGGCATTCTGCACCATGGAGGCATCCTCATGGAGGCCCGAGGGCCAGGGGAGCTCTGCCTCGCCAAGTATGTGCTCCCAGGTGCTGGGCAAGGGCGCCCCTACATACGGAAGGAGGAGCTGGTGTCTGGCGAACTTCCCAGGATCGTCCGCCAAGTGCTGCACCGTCCAGACGTGGACCAGCAGGGGCTGCTGGTACAGGAAGACCCAACCAGCCGGCTCTGGCTCAAGCCGCTGAGGCTGCCAGCTCCAAGCAGCAGTGGGAGTATTGAAGACATGGACCCTGAGCTCCAGCAGCTGCTGGCTTGTGGTCTAGGGGCCTCTGTGGCGAGAACTGGGCTGGTGATGCAGGAGACAGAGCAGGGCCTGGTGGCGCTGACTGCCTACTCCCTGCAGCCCCGGCTAACCAGCAAGGCCACAGAGAGGAGCAGCGTGCAGCTGCTAGCCAGTTGCATAGACAAAGGAGACCTGAGTGGCCTGCACAGTCTACGGTGGGAGCCACCAGCTGATGCAAGTCCAGCGCCAGCCAGTGAGGGAGCCCAAAGGCTGCCTGCCACTGAGAGCATCATCCATGTTCCTCCACTGGACCCTAGCATGAAGATGGGACAAATGAGAGTCCCAGGCGCCACCCCCTGCCCACCTCGGGCCATTGGAAAGGCAGTGCCTCTGACAGTGGAAGCTGCAGCCCCAGCCCGATTGCAGGACACAGAAAGGCAAGAAGACCGTCATACCACGCAGAAAGGGATGGCAACCTTGGGAAAGTCAGAAGGAGCCACGTCTACCCTTCCAGGACCTGGGGCCCCAAACCTCCTAGCTGCCATGCAGAGTCTGCGGATGGCAACCGCCGAGGCCCAGAGCCTGCACCAGCAAGTTCTGAACAGGCACAAGCAGGGCCCCACCCCAGCTGCCAGTTTCATGCCCAGCCAGGATGGTCTTCTGCAAGCACCAGCCACAGCCACTGGGGCTACCCAGAACAGCACCAGGCCTGTGGGTGGAGGTGACCCCAGGATCCCAGCAGCCCCTAGAAAGGTCAGTGGGGAAGAGAAAGCACTACCCAGAGGGCTGCCTGGGGGGTGGGTGACAATTCAGGATGGCATCTACACCGCTCACCCCGTGAGGACCTTTGATACACTTGGGGGTGTCCAGCCTCCTCAGAAGGGGCCCCAGCTAAGCAGCAGGGAGACTGTCCTCTCCGCCCAGGCTCCCAGCCCACTCCAGGGAAGCCCAGGTCGGAGTATTGGGCCAGGGCGGGAGGAGCCTGGGGGCTGCACACAGAGAACCCAGGGACCTCCAGAGAAGGTGATGGCAGAAGTCTGTTCAGGGGGCCTCCAAGCTGCAGAGACCACCCTGAAGATTGCCCCTTTAGCCTGCAACACTCTGGCCTCTGAGCCCCAGGCTGCAGGTGCCAGCCTGCACTCCCATAATGCCTCTGTTCCTCCCCCTCCTACTCTCCCAGCTGCTGTGACAGGACCTGACTTCCCAGCTCAAGCCCACCATGATGAAGACTCCATCCAGCAAGCCTCTGAATCCCTGAAGGATGCCCTTCTTCACTCTCATAGCAGCCCTACTGGCCAAAGAACTCTTAGGTCACAGACAAAGACTCCAAAACTGGAGACCACCATGCCCCCAAGGAAGAAGCCCCAGCTGCCCCCCAAACCTGCACACCTAACCCAGAGCCACCATCCTCAGAAGCTGCCCAAGCCCTCAGCTCTATCTCCCGGCTTCTCCTCAGAGGTAGGACAAGGAGAACACAAACGAGGTGAGACAGATGCAGCCATCCCTCGGCCAGTCAAGCTTCCCTCCACTGTATGCCAGGACCACATACCTCTAACCAGATGCCCCAGTGGACAAAGCCGACCCTGCCCCCAACATGGCCTCAGCACCATAGCCCCCATGCCCACTAAGAGTCAGGCTGCAGGCAGCAATGCCCAGAGCTCTAAGCCCCCCAAACTCAGTGCTCTCAACAGCGGCCCCACCTCATCGTATCAGGGGCCCATGCCCCAAGGACAGCAGCCCATGGAAGGTTTCCAGCAGGGGGATCCTGAGAACCCTAAGATTCTGCAGGGAAGTCAGCAAGAGCTCCAGGGCCTCTTGAGCCAAGTACAAGCCCTGGAGAAGGAAGCTGCCAGCAGTGTGGATGTGCGAGCCCTGAGGAAGCTCTTTGAGGCTGTGCCCCAACTGGAAGAGGCTGTCCCTCAGGCTCCTGCTATTCCCCAAAAGCCCGAGGCCTCGGTGCAACTGGCCTTTGGGGAGCTGACACGGGTCAGCACAGAGGTTGCCCAGTTGAAGAAACAGACCCTGGCCAGGTTGCTGGACATTGAAGAGGCAGTACACAAGGCCCTCAGCTCCATGTCTAGCCTCCAGTCTGAGGCCAGTGCCAGAGGCCATTCTCAGGGACCCTCAAAGGATCACAGTGTCCCCAAGGTCAGTGTTACAGTCAGCAGTAGTGCCAGACCCAGTTGCTCAGGTCAAGAAGTCGGAGGTCAAACTGCCATCAAGAGCCAAGCCAAGGTTGGGTGCCACACTGCAGCCCAGAGTCAAGACACCGTCAGAAATCACACAGAGGCCAGAGGTCAAGCAGACTCAACTGCCCCTCCCATCAGAAGACTGGAGTCATCAAGACAGGATCTGGGCCTCCCTCGAGTCTTGCCTTCCAGCAGAGATTCACCCTCCTCCCCAACATTCATCTCCATCCAGTCGGCCACAAGGAAGCTTCCGGAAGCTTCCAGCCCAAAGGGCAACCCTGACGTCTCAGTGAAAAGCACACACCTGGCTCAGGACATGGGTCAGGCCCCAGTCCATCAGAAAGGTATCCAGGACAAGGCTAGGAAGGAGGCCACCCAGTGCTCTGAGGAGCCCAACCCTGCCTCCGCCTCCGCCAGGCCTCCATCCACAGGGCGGCAAAAGAGTGTTCTGGAGCTGCAGACAGGGCCAAGTGGCCCCCAGCGCTATGGAGCCACAAGAACTGTGACTGAGCAGTACGAGGAGGTGGACCAGTTTGGGAACACGGTCCTCATGTCCTCCACCACGGTCACCGAGCAGGCAGAGCCGCCCAGGGGCCCAGGCCCCCACCTCGGGCTCCATGCCTCCCCATTGCTGAGGCCATTCCTGCACAGCCCAGCCGGCTTCACCAGTGGCCTGGCAGAAGCTGAGGTGCCCTGTGGCTACTCCCAGCCAGCTGCCCAGTGAGACCCTCTCCCTCTCACCACAGCCTCCCACCCGTCGCTGAGGTGCCTCCCTCCACGGCCCCAGGACTGAGATGGGTGAGGCAAGGACCAAGAAGAAAGGGCATCTTCAGAGGATTGTTGTGGGCCATGCCCCTTTTGCCGGTTCCATCAGTAGGCCCAGTTCTTGCAAAAGGGGGAAGAGAGGCCGGGAAGAGGCCCACTGAGTAGCACAGTCGTGGGGGTAGGAGACTCCCAGCTGCTTGTGGAGGATGTAATACGTACAGACGCACACATGCTTCTCACACCAGCCTGGCCCACGCGTGGACACGTATGAATCTGCACGCCACTGCCTGAGTTGGAGCCCCCCTGAATGTCCCTCCACTCTCACTCAGCCTTTCTTTCTTTTATTAGTCTGAATGTTCTCAGCCATCTGCTCCTTAATCCCCAGAGAGGAACAGGGCCAACTGGACACAACACTGGTCTCTGTTTGGGACTGGTGTGGGGGCTCCAGGAGGGCTTGGCCGCCAGCCCCTTCATCACCATCTCCATCATGCAGCTGGTCATCCTGTTGGCCCTAAGGTCACACCAAAAGAGTCAATAATCGGCGATGTCCCTCAAAGCCAAATGCACTGCCTTTCTCTGCAGCCCCCAACTGCCCCTACTCTGCATCCCAAATGGGAAGGATACAGTCTGAATAAACCCAAGTTTTATTCTCTGCTCTGTGCATTTCTGACTGTGTACATCTGTTCCAGAATCTGTGTTCCCACTGTGGGGGAGAAACAGCCACAACCTCCAGGTGCCTTGTCTTCCTAGCAACCGCAGTGTTGGAAAGCTCTGAAAAGCCACCCCTTCTCCACCACCTTGGCTGGGAACCAGAAGGTCCTCCCCACCCCCCTG